CAGTGCCTGCCGGAGCGGCGCTGGCAGAGGCTCGGGCAGCGTCACTCGCAAAACACTGCCGGCTCAACACGGCCAGCCTTTGCCAAGCGCCAAGCCAAGCGGAGCCAAGCTGAATACATCAAACTAGCCTGCGGCCACACGACGACCGGGCGTTTTTGTCTCCACGCTTTTCACGCCGCCAGCAGCCCCGCAGCGGCCCCTGTCCACCGCCGAACCGGAGACATGTGGAGCAACGGCCGGCACTTGCGACACAGGCGCCGGCGCGATCACATCGCCGACGGCAGCGCCCGCCGACGCCGCGCCGTCGCCAGCTCTCCGGCCCAGCCGCCACACGTGGGAGCCGTGCGTGCGCGCCAGACGCCGCGTGACGTGTGGTGGCGCACGGGACGTGCGGTGGCGCACAGAACGCGAGCCGACGCGATCTGTCCGGGGGCAGAAAGCGTGCGCGGGCTTCCGCCTCGCAGCACGGCCGGCCCCAACCGTCCCCGATTGGTGGCCCCAACCGCCCCAGATTGGCGGCCCCAACTGCCCGGGACCCGGACAGCTCACCAGGGCTGCGGGCCGCGGTCACGTCAGTTGGGGGGTCGCGTGGACAGGAGGCCGTCGCCCGGCACGCTGGAGCCCAGGTCCCTGACGGCGCCGCACACGCCGGTGGCTTTGACGTCGGTGATCTTGACATCGACGACCTTGACATCAGCGGCGCCGGCCCTGGCCTCGAGCTGGTTCGGATGTCGCTGGACCAGTTCCCAGGCGTTGGGGCGGTGCCAGACACAGGGAGCAGGTGCAACCCGGAACAGCGGCACCTCGGGGTCCAGATGAGACCGCGTGAGTCCGAACAAGACCGCGAGGACCCCGACATAGCGTGGCGGTCCAGCGGACCTCACGGGAACAGCGACCACCGAGCGTCCGAATCAGGCCACAGGGGTCCGGGCTGGATCACCGAGGCACTGAGGCGATGGATCGCCGAGGCGCTGGGGCAGCCCCACGCCTCCTCCACATTTCAACCCCATACGTCCGAGGGAGGCGGGATGGGTAACACATGTCACAAGGGAGGCGCGGTAGGCGGCGCACGTCACGAGGGAGGCGGGGTGGGCAGCGCACGTCACGATGGGCTGCAGCGCCTGTCTGCGGCGTCTCCGCCACGGTCGGACCACGGCGGGGCGACGCAGCGGCCTCCATTAATCAACGCTGCCAGCTCAAGTCTCTGACTGAAAACAATCATCTGTTCACGGTAGCGCCCGCGACTTATGAGGACATCCGCGATACGGAAGCGGGAATTGTTCCAAAGTGACTTTGAAAACGTCATAATTAATTTCGAGAATTGAGATACTTAGCCGGTAAGGACATCCTAGGTTCCCCGCCGATGTTGCTGTTGCTGTTTTTTTGTGTAGGCACAATCCTGAAAACGTGAGAAGTGCAGCGCCGCAGACTAGTTCAGTTAGAATGGCACAAGGTATCAGCGTCCAAACGTGCGGCATCGTTTAGTCAACAGAGGCAGCAACCGTTCGGATCAGGAACTAAACGCCTCGTGATGTTGCAACTGCCAAAAAGCAGCCGAGAAAAAAAAACTGGGTCGCTTAAAACGAGCACGTCACAGAACAGCCATGTCTAATCCAAGACCGCATGTTTTCAAGTCACTCTCGACACCTCAGTGACACATCAACGACAGCGACGGTTGCCACGCCAACGCGTCATCGGCTGCACGGACCAAAGATATAAACGCAGCGCTGCACCGACCGGCCGCTTGCGTTCCTTTGGCGCAATCGAGACATCTCAGGCGAGGTCGACCCCGCTTTGGAGGAAACGCTCCCGATCTGCACGGCTTCGCCCACGGCCCGCAGATAGGATCTGGGGTATGCGGCACCGTTAGCCGCCGACAAAGTGTGTGCGCGCCACCTGGTACGTCGAAACCATCACGGGAATTCGGGGTCTCAAAACAAGACGGCGTCTCTTGAAGCCCTTATGGATTACCGCGTCGAGTGTGGATACGCGCATCAAGTCGCGGCCAGAGTTTCCGTGTTAAGGGCGGCGCGCGGACTGAGCTCGCGCGAGGGTCGCAGTTTGCTGCCAAAACGCGGCACAGCCGCACGCACTGTGCAGAGCTGACAGACATCCCGGGGCGGACAAACCGACCCCGTCTCAACCGACCCGCAAGGTCTGGCGTGTCCGTGGAACAGCTCAAACCACAGTCACAGTCCCACGCCTTTGACCCTTGAGCCAGCACCGGGTTCTGCGGGGTGACGCGTCGTCGGAAGCGTACACAAATGAGCCGGGTCGAACACGGCCGCATCGTTCCGTCCGTCGCCGCCGGCCGAGGCGACGGACGGGTGTCGTCCGGCCCGGGCGCCGGAAGTGCGGCCCCGATTGGTCGTGACCCCGCGTGACCCCGGGAAGCCCTTCTGCCCAGGTACATCCCTCCGGTCGTCGCCTGCGCAGCGGCCGGCTGGGAAGCCTCGGCGGGCGACGCTGGGCCGGCGTTCGAAGCCGCGGTCACCCCGCCTGCAGACGCAGGCTTCGGCGACGCGAGGCTGCTCCACCAGCAGCTCAGAAATGTCCGGCGTGTTATATAAGCACGGCCGACCGAAGGCGCTATCAGCACGACCGGGGGAGTCTGGATAGGCTCCAATGTGGATACTGCGTGCAGAACAGATCATCGACCCTCTCGCGATGTGCCCAGGGTGACGACGCTGTCGTCGTTCAAAGCAGAACGACGCGTCGCAGTCCACCGCGATTTGACACAGAAGAGACTCCATCGCCGTCAAGATCAGAGTCCTCGCAGTCGGAGTCGCGGCGCCATCGAGTCACGGAATCGTACAAGGCGCCAGAGCCCTCGGAGGAGGACTCGCGTCCTCACATCCTCGCCTGAAGCACTTGCTACTGCGTCCTTCTGATCGACCGGGCGGCCCGCCCGGCATACCTGGAGCCGGCCATGACCGGGCTTAGGCGACCATTCCAAAACAAATGACTATCGACCGGCGGCCGGGCCGGTCTGCCGCAGAGTCAGGCGAACAGCGCGCCCCCACTCAGCATTAATGGCAGTAATTGCAACGCAGGCTACGCCAACAGGGCCAGCACACTGCGTCGAGGCTACGTCAGTGAAGCCGCCCACCCAGCAACGACTGCATCCGCTTCCCAAATGTCTCCCTGCGCGACTACTGCCTTCTCACCAGTCCCGAGTCCGTGTCCGCTGCGCTGAAGTGAAAAGCCTGCATGCCTCGGTGGGTTGCACGACGGGCAGGACAGGTTCCCGGTGACACAAACGTCGGGACAGGCGTCTCGTCTCTCGCATGACGGGACGGCTGGTGTCGGATCAGTCTGCGGCTCCACGCGCGCCTCCGCCGCGCCGGCTCCGACATCGAGCTCGTGGCCCCAGAGACGCGCCTGCGTCTGTTTGTAGCGACGCTGGCCTGCATGCGTGCGTGAGCCCGATTGGGCAACGTGACGGGCGTACGAGTGGAGGTACGCGCGGTGGAGCAAAACAGCGCAAGGGTCTGCCCGCCAAGGCTAGCATAGAACGGGCTACAACGCGGCTGACCGCCGGATCTGCGTAAGCGTTATGGCTATTTCCAGCCAGTGTCGACGGAGAGAACTGATTCTCCTGAACAAGTCGCTACCAGAGGCAGTCCCACCCCAGACGCAGGAAGCACCCGAACCACGATCGCTCACGCTCCGACGCTCGTTCGCGTCCCCCTCGTCTGGCCACTGACCTTCTCCAGCTGCTGTTGCGGTACATGCTGCGGCGCTGGGTCACGTCCCCCGCTCCGCCATACCCGCCGCCCGGCTTCACCACAGTCGGGCACCGACGGCACGCCTCACCCGCACGGACCGGCCACCCTCCCTTCCCCAGCGCCGATCACTTTCTAACTCCACTGCCCGATCTCGACGGCGAGATGCTCGCCAGCGCCTAGCGGCCGGTTCCGTAAGCTTACTTTGGGTATGAAGTCGCTAGATGAGACGCGCGGAGGAAACAGGCGTATCATGGCAACTGGATTCCAGACGCCGGAAAGCGATAACAAAGGAAATGTGGTGTAATAGGTAATCGCCATCCCTCAGTTTCATGCTGCTGAAACTTGGTGCCCCAGTATGATTTATAATTTAACCGAAATACAGAAGACGCACACATTCGGATCGCGGAAACGCTGAACAGACAACCGTCCGGCAGGTCATGGACTGCACCCCGGCAACCGCACCTTTTTGCTTCGACTGAGCAGCTTTCACGGTGACGGTGTCGCAATACAGCGATGTGTTGAGTGAAATCGGTCATTTTCCGGGCCCGTAGGTCCGCACTGCGCGTCCAATTCTGGGAGAAGTGCGACAGTGCGGCCCATGAAGCTGGCGCGGCAGCGCAAGAGTGCCGGCGCGCGGTTGTCCCGTTTCTCCGTCAATAAAGAGCCGCCCTTAACTCCGAAACACAGACTGGACTGCTGAGCCTTCCTTCAAGCCTGGCGGGCGGCCAGAGTGGTGGGCGGTGCTGATGGTGCTGGCAGCACAAGCGCTGATCAGCGCCCAGCTCGCTTGCCGCGGCTGCCGCCGCCGCCGCCGCCGCCGCCCGACGCGATCGACGGCGCCCACAGGTGCTCCGCCGCACACAAGCCGGGGCACCCGCATAGCTGACCTGTGACGTCACGCTGGCGGTGACGCGGCAGATTGGATCGATCGGTGACGAAGGTGCAGAAGGCTTCAGCACCGGGCGGCGCGCGGGGTCGGGTTCGGGGGAGGAGGGACGTCACGGCACGGCACAAGTCGTCGTGTCATCAACACGTGCAGCTGCCACTGTTGCTCAGGCTGGGGGGAGGGGGGGGGGGGGCGAGGCTGGCAGGCGCACCAAAAAAGGCCTCGGGCGACGACCCCGCCACCGCCGCGACAATACCAGGTGACGTCACCACCGGGCTAACCAGCATGGGTGCATGCCTGGTGCCAGACGCCCGCGTTCCGTAACACGACGTTGTCGCAAACGGGCAGCATAGGCCTCTGCACTCTGTCACCATGCGCGGACTTACTGTCTCATGGATCCGTAGCGGCGAAACTGGGCCGGCAGCTCGCTGGCGTTGTCCCTGAAATGACGTGACGTGATTGATCGCGCTCGTAACATGCTCACAGCCGCGTCCCGGGCTGCACGCATTGGGAACACGTCAGGTCAACATATGGAAAGCACACATTCGGTTCAGGGAGTCCCTCCCATAAGCCATTTATAACCGTGCCACTTTGGCCGTTGGGGGGGGGGGGGGGCTTGGCTTGCTCACGGCTGAGTGGAACCCATCGTGTATTTTCCTCCTTTCAGTTCCTCGGTGCCACCAAAAACATGGAATCCTCAGACTCGTATTCCGGTTGGGACAAGAATTCCATAGCTCATTGTCCATTACACCGGTTTCCACTCGTATCTATGTTTAGTGCTGCACATTGACCACGTGGCGCCGGGCAGTGGTGCCGCCCCATTCTCAGCCTCCTCGCTGCGGCCCTGCCCGTGACCTGACCCGCTGACCTTGAGCTTCGGCGCAGGCTGGTGCGCAGCCACGTGCTGCGTCTGCCGATGGGCACCTCCGGCTGCGACTGACTGCGGCTGTGGTTCGAGCTGCGAAAGCAAACGTGACGTCACGATAACAAGACTAGGATGGCGAACGGCCGCACCGGGCGGCGCGAGCGTCATGTGCGTACATCGCGCTGGCCGTGGCCCCAAATGCCATGCTATCGAGGGTTCCACGCGCCCTGGCGTATCTGACAGTTGTACGGGGCGGGCAGCCGCGGTGACTCACGCGATGACATTTGGGCAGATGTGTGAGTCGGCATTCACGACATACAAGGCCTGGCTGCAGGCGACGGCAGCGGACGGCCTGGCTGCCTCAGGCCGGGCTATCTATATCATCTTTTCTGCCGTTGCTAAGGAAACCGTGCGTACCGATTTCAATGATGCTAAGATGACGCAAGCGGCCTGTCAGTTGTTCCCAAGCTACGGTATTCAGATGCAAATGGGACTGAATTATGGTCCAACTAGTTCGTCGTTTGGAAGCCAAGCGACGTTCACAACCATATGTGGAAAATAAGCATGCTCGCAACACATCAATCACCAGCCACTTGGCAGGTAAATCACGTGCATTTCCTCCCAGATCGTAGTGGTTTCAGGCGATCCACTGAGCCGAGTTTACTCGGGAAGATACACCGCGGCCACATGAATGCAACAGAGGCCGCCGTCGGGTTCTCGTGAACCTGTTGGCTCTGATGGTCGTAATTTTCTCGGTACGTCCGACATTCTTCCCACGCGAACGATCCAGTAAATGGTGTGTTTTGCGCATGACCTAAACGCGCTGCGAGTAATGCAGACTGCGTCGGATTGCGTGAACCACGCCAAAGTGGGCAGCTAGTTGCCTGCTTGCAAGGTTCTGGGAAGAATTCAGTTATGATTCTCTAACTATGAGACCGCTAGTTTCCGAGAAAGGAGCGTTTAACACCCGTGGTGTGTTGTTTCGTGATGACTTAGTCATGACGTGGTGGCTATCTACGAAGTCTGGTCATCATAGGTCAGCCAAATTCGTACTACAAACTGATTTATCTCAAAAACGTTGGCTCCTGATTGTGATTCATGCGTTTGTGAGCTCCGTTGAAACTTCCTTTCGTTATGAGTGCCAGTTTGTGTCAAAAATTCAAAGTAGCTTCCGTTATGAGTGCCAGTTTGTGTCAAGAGCTCAAAGTAACTTTCATTATGACTGCCATTTGTGTCAAAAGCTCAAAGTAACTTTCGTTATGAGTGCCATCTTGTGTGAAGAGGTCACAGATACTTTCGTTTTGAGTGCCAGTTTGTGTCAAGAGCTCGAAGTAACTTTTGTTGAGCGCCAGCTTGTGTCAAGAGCTCAAAGAAACTTTCGTTATGAGTGCCAGTTTGTGTCAAGAGCTCAAAGAAACTTTCGTTATGAGTGCCAGTTTGTGTCAAGAGCTCAAAGTAACTTTCGTTATGAGTGCCAGTTTGTGTCAAGAGCTCAAAGTAACTTTGGTTATGAGTGCCAGGTTGTGTCAAGAGCTCAAAGTAACTTTGGTTATGAGTGTCAGTTTGTGTCAAGGGCTCAAAGTGAATTTCGTTATGAGTGCCAGGTTGTGTCAAGAGCTCAAAGTAACATTTGTTGTGAGTGCCAGTTTATGTCAAGAAGTAACTTTCGTTATGAGTGCCAGTTTGTGTCAAGAGCTCAGAGTAAGTCTGGTTGAGCCCAAGACCGTCACATATCGAGCTACGATTGCCTCACTCATCAAACGTCCGAAACACTTAGCACTCTTTGTCATTAGTTTGCGAAGGATCAGTTCGATCAACAGGTTATCCTACGTTACGCCGATTCATTGCACAGGATGTTTACTCCATACTGTAGACACCACATAACGAGGATGTTTTATGAACTGATGGCATGAATTGACCTTTAAAACGTGCATTGTGTTTGGAACTGAGTCCGAAACTTCATCTGATTCCTTGACTTAGCAAGGCCACAAGGGTAGAAACATATTCAAGATGTTAACATATCGGAAGGGTGCTAGACCTCTATGGACATATATTGCGCACTAGTGCTGAAGTAACGAGGCGCATGTGGGCACATTTGGGGACGAAGTGGCCAAATCTTTCCATGCGGTCTGGTCTAGTGTGGTTTGGAGTCAATGAACGTGCATACAGATGGGCTTGGAGAGGTAGCAGCATCCCATTTACCCAATCCACTTCCACTTAGTTGCGCTACTGTGCAGATTTGGAATGGATACACAATTTGGAAATATTTTCGGAAAACTTATCTTGAGCTGTGACGTCACCAATGTCGTGCAGTTGTCGAATGATGCCGAGGTTAAAGGGAATGTTTCACATTTCAAGATATTAAAGCAAACATGAGGCATGATGAAACAAGCTCACTTAAAACCGTTGCTAGAATTTCAAGTACAAAAGGGGTGCTCTAGACAACACCATTTCTCTGCTGGGTAACTTTGCTTCTCCATAGGCACTGTTTGATTACGTCGTCGTACAACAATGATTGAGCTAATTGGCGGCTATTATACCTGAAATCGTACTCACGGACACCAGATATCTGCGACTTGACCGTTATATTTGTATTGGCCTTGATAGCTGCATGGCATATGGAATGACAGGATTTGAATTGACGTTCTTATGACGTCATGCGTGCCAAGGTGGCCTGGAAATACTCTACCCGAAAAAGTCTCCCCATCTTCGCGGACGTATAGCTCAGAAACTGAAGAGTTTTAGGTCTTCAGAGGGACAGGGCTGTGAACTGCACCGAATAACCTTCAAAATGTCTAGTTCAGTTTAAAATCCCATAGAAATCTGGAGCACTCCCTTTAATTGGTGCCAGGACATATTCCGGGGAAGGTCGATAAGCCTCTCCCCAGCAACCGGAAGGTGGCAAGTGCCTAAACAAATGCCATTCCAAAGTAGTATGACCATTGCAAGGAGTAATTGTTTTACTTGGTTGCCAGCGCAACCACCTCTTCACTCTGATCGACAAAGCCGCCTCTGAGCTGTGCGCTCAGAGGTCCTCAGCTGGCCGCGTTTGAGACAGCGCCCGAGGCGTTCCCGGCGCCGCACCCGCTGCTGTGAGCAGCTGCCTTCACTCCAGCTGCAGCGGCCAACTGGGGGAGGGGCTGGAGGGGAGGGGGAGGGGGCGTGCGGTGCAAGCGGGCACCTTCGATCAAGGAGTACCCGCTGCAGCGAGCGGTGCCGGTACCGCAGCTGATCTCGAGGACGGGCGTAGAAGGTCGTGCATGGTCGTGGAAAGCTGACGGAGACAGCTCGACCGTAACCACAGCCTGCGGCCGTTTGACTGGGTGCAACTGTATGGCAGTTTGTGGCTGTGGCCATTTGCTGGGGTGGGACTGGCTGTGGCTCTGGCCATTTGGCTGGGCGGGACTGGACGACAGTCCGTGGCTGTGGCCGTCTGGTGGAGTGGGACTGGACGGACGGTCTGTGGTCGTCTGGTGCGGCGCCCGGCAGGTTTCTTTCCACTTTAAGCCTGCTGTCGAGCCAGTCGTCACAGAGCTTGGACGGCACGCGATGCGAGGGCAAACAACGTGACGCTTCGTGGAATGCAGACCGGCGGCTCAAAGCCGCCACCCTCGACAACCTTGTGCCGCGCAGTACGTGTTTCAGCGTTTCGCCGTAGCTTGCCGCATACCAGCCAACGCAAAGCGCAGCCACAGCGCACTAGATCAAGAATATTTAAAATTTGGCGGAAGCTTGGGCTACGCAGCGGCTTTATCATGACCCCACAGTTGTAATGTTAATGCCTAATCGCAGACCCTCGACGGAACCCCCACTGCGCAACATGTCGCACCCCGCTACATCGATAACATCTGACATCTCATAACATGTAACACCTGACATGAGCGAACACGCCCCCGGTCCGACACACGGAACCCCCACTGTGCGTTCAACACAGACACCCGCGTGCCGCCGCGAAACACGTCGTTCGTCACCGGTCGCGGCGCGCTGAACAGGAAAACGCAGCAGCGCGCTTTCTAGTGCGTTATCCGGTCTGTGAACGCAAATGGCCTCCGGGGCGACACGGATATCCGTTGCCTGCTGTTTGCCAGGCAATCTCATTCGTCCAGCCACTCAGAGCGGTGCAGCGGGCGCCGGGTCCGCCCTGCGCGCCAGAGCGATCAGAACCTCTGGCCCGCTCACTGACGGCTTTGTTGTGTGAGAAGACGTCGCGTCCGTGTCGGACGTGACGGCCCCGGTTGGCGGCAGGTGCCTCCCCCCCCCCCTCCCCTCCGCCGCGACAGATCCTCAGCCAGCGGCATCGCAGGCCGACGTCGGAATGTTGACGACGCGACACGGCTGGTCACCGCTGAACCTTCGCTGATGGCATCGGCAAACAGGGTTATGCTCTTCGCGTGCGTCGTAAAGTGGGTTATACGTGTGTGATTGCACAAAATGTGTATGCGACTCGGCAGGTAAATATGTCAAACACAGCACCTATAAGTCAGTTACCTTGGTGCATCCCCTGCCATGGAAAACCACGCAGTAATGTTTGATTTCACAATTGTGTCACTGCTGGCCTTATGTACACCGCGTTTGCGGTATTTCCACTCCTTTCGCCTGCTCTGCGCAGGTGCAGCGCCGCGGCGCCGCAAACCCCCCAGAGCGCCATCGTCAGCACATCACGTCAGCAGGCGCGTCCCGCCTCACCTCCTGCTGGCGTTGTTCTCCTTCGCCTCTCCGTAGCACTCAAAGCTCTCCTCCTGGTCCGACAGGCTGTTGCACGGACTGAAACGAGGCAGTCGGACCCGCTGTCACACGAGGCACTCGGACCCGCTGTCACATGAGGCAGTCAGACCCGCTGTCACACGAGACAATCAGACCCGTTGTCACACGAGACAGTCAGATCCGCTGTCGCACAAGGCAGTCAGACCCGCTGTCAAACGAGGCAGTCAGGTCCGTTGACAAACGAGGCAGTCAGACCCGTTGACAAACGAGGCACTCAGATCTGCTGTCACACGAGGCAGTCAGACCCGCTGTCACACGAGACAGTCAGACCCGCTGTCACACGAGGCGGTCAGACCCGCTGTCACACGAGGCTGTCAGACCCTCTGTCAAGGACGCGCTTCACAGACCACTGAATAACTGGTGCACAGTAGCCGAACACCTCAGCACCACGCAACTGGTGTCGGTTGAAACTGAAGCGCTGAGGGGGGGAGGGGGCGGGGGAACCGGCTGCCGAACGCATCAAGCCGCCCGGGCGTGCAGCCATGCAGTGCGCTCGTCGCAGACCCGAACACGACTGCCTCAGTCGTGTGAACGGCATCTCAACCCAGCTCAGCTCGTTGCAAAACGCGCTCAGCATGTTACCCGAATGCGTGTGGGTTAGGCAACGAGTTTGTCTAGCGAATTGTTGACGGTGGAGGCGGTGGTGTTCTGGGCCCCGACGACCGCGTTGCAAGGTACACACACCCCGAGCAGTTTTCTGTTTTCGATCGGTCGCTGTTCAATTCCCTTCAGTTACTTTGTTTCGAGCGGAAACAGCGGCATGCTCGCTGAAAACACATAATCAATGAATATTTCAGTGGCCGTTGAAAGGAGATCCAATGGCATTTCAACGCGCTCAGCTATAGCAAACGTCACGTTTGTAACGCAAGCCTACTACGCCACGGTTGCGATTCGCGCCGCATTGCCTCGGTGACCGAACCGGGCAAAATCGTCACAACGATAAGCAACCAGCGCAGCCACGTTTTGATATCAAATGTACAAACCTTCTATGAAATCTACCAAATCTACCGATCGTTTCTACCACATTTACATTTTTCTACCAAGTCTCGGCGACGGTCCCCTATGATACGTTCAATCCGTCGGTTACTAAGTCACGGCATCGCGGCCGTCTTTGACATGTCGGCCGCCGGTGAGGCCGCGCCGGCCCTGTCCTCTCCAGACCGGCGCGGGGCCGCCACAAGTGCCGCCGACCGCAAGTAGGGCGCAGTCGGCGCCGCCGTGCGGGCCGCCGCCCACGGTGTCCACCCGTGCCGGTCACCGCGCCACCTGCCCCGCCGCCCGGCCTACTCTGGCGCCGCCATGTGCTCCCGCCGCCCGGTCACGTGACAGCGCCGCGGGGCAGCCCCGGGTGAGATCAGCACTGAGTCAGCGACGACAGCTGGCGGCCGCCGCGGCTCCGGGTCAAAGGCTGAGGTCGCAGCTGCAGAGCAAGGTGTGGGCTAGAGCAGGCGGGCTTGTTCATGACTCGTAGGCTTGGTGAACAGGAAGCGAGAGGAAATTTTACCAGGGCGTTATCAGGAGGCGCAAGTTCATGTCAGCATTTTTTGCCAACCGCCGATGACTGGACTGAATATGTCTTGTGAAAAGCACATTCATCAATCGAAATTTTACTAGTGTGCTTCTCGCCAGGAGGCCTGAAAGCACCTATTGAATGCCAGACAGACTCAGTTCAATTCTGGCAACCGTGAAGCGCCTGTGCTTAGTCTGGTGCTCTGCATCCCTCGCATGGAATGCCACGTTTTTTTTTTTAAATCGCGAACAATCCACAAAGCATGTTGAAAAGATGTCGGACACCGTATAGGGACTGTGTATGATGGAGCGAGCTGACACTACCTGACCTGATCCTACCAACCGCGCTGGTAGAAGCAGGCCCCACCAACGAAACAAGGGGCGAACGAAACTGTAAGCCTCTCGTAGGCTAACAGCTTTGCAGCCCACGGACAAAGCAAAAGGATGTTTTGAGTGGAGAAAAGTGTTGTCTTTTAAAATGCATGTAGTCGCAATTGGGCTGTCTCATTTCAAAGTGCTGGTGCAAACAAACTTTGGCCCGTTCAGCACCGCATGATAACTCGTTATCACATAAGTATCATTTGAACCTCCATTCGCATGGTAACATCAGATGTTTGAATAGCATACGCGGCGTATTGGTTGGCGGCGTTAAGAGAATTATTGCTGCGTGACGGTGATCCGTTCCTGACGTCAGTTATGCCACAGGTATGACGCCTTATATGTTATAGTCTTAAATAGTATCTGTTATGCATTCTGCTATGGGGCTCGCTGGTAGTGCGTTCCCGGACGCCTGTACTGGTCTCCACCGATTTTTATCAATTGATGTGCTGCCCCGCGAATCTCGACAACAGCTACACTCGAAATACTTCCGAAGTGTTTGTTTCGGCCTCATTCGCGGCTGATGTCCGCTAGAGCAGTGGTCATTCGGCGCATCTGGGAGACCAGAAACACGGGGCTCGATACCCGCGGAGCCTGCCCATTCTGCCAGGATCAAAGGCAGGCGACGCCGCATGGCACCATCAGCCGAATGCGTCATGAAGCCCGAATAACAAGGACTGCATTTGAGGAAATTCCAGAACTGCCATGAGTCCCACTTCCTATGCCAGCCGCACGCCAACCGAAAGGGCACGACTTGCGATGCCCCTCCAGCCATGGCCGTCTAATCTGCCGCATTGCCGAGGCTGTACCTGGTTTCATCTGCACTGCGCCGTAAGTCACAAGGTTCTGTACACTTGTCGTGTTCACAACTCGATGCTGTCCTGCACCGTACCTGGAGCCGTCGATCTTGACCTGAAGCTCCGGACTGGTGGAGCCGCGGCCAATGGCCGAGTCGTCGTCCATGTCGCCGACCGGGCTGCCCCCTGTCGGCGGCCCGCCGAACCTCGGAGAGGCGGCCATCGCTGGCGCCCGGGCTCCTGGGCGCTGTTCGGCGGTTGTCTCGCGCTGACCCGGGAGAGCTCGAGCGTCAGCTCAGGCACGTCCTGCAACAGAGCGCACGGGCTGAAGGGACGTTCGCGTCGCTGGAGCGCACTGCCGACGCGCGGGCGTGCTGTGGAAATCGACTTGGCAGCTCCTTATGACGGCGGCTGCGATGCAATCACAGAAAAAAGGCAGCCGTGTGTGGGGTTCGAACGCGGCTGTTCCGAAGAATACCACGCTACGCGTCGCATCCGTCTTTCACAATAGAGGTGGCGAAAAAAGAAAGAAAAAATAAAGATAAAAGAAAAGAAAAAATCAAGAGCTGGCGTCTATCAAAGCGATTTCGCTTCGACCCTGAAGCCGTGATGGAACTATAAACGGTCCAGTATTTTAGTCCGCCGCGGATGATGCTCCTGAGAGTGTGCGTCGACCCTTGGACTGCTTTCCGGTGCCGGTGCAATAGCTGTTCTCCCAGAACCGTTATCTATCCGAGCGCCAAGGGCTTTCCAGCTCGGTGTATGCGACGTTATTGAAGCATTTCTTCAAAAACGAGCAGTCAGGTAAGTGCGATCAATCCCAGGCCGCTGCTGGAGCACACAAACCTTTAATCTCCTGCCACACGCCTCGTGTTCCTTTGTGTCGCATCTGAACTGGCACGTCATCACTGCGTGCCCGTTCACGCGCCTTCTAATGTCAATAACGACCAGACTGTTCGTCTGTGCGGGATCACACCATTAATCATCTACCCGAGGCCACCTACTCCTGCAACGCCGTCCGACCTAAATCGTAAGTCCGGAAAGCGGGTAAGTGATAAGTCCCCTCTGCCCGACATTTTTGTAGTCGCTCGGCATTGCCCGATCCTAACAGAGACTTGCGTTCCAAACACAAATTGTCAAAAACGACTTCCGTGCCATCAGCGCTGTCGCACCCATTCACGCCTGTTGTCTCGCTTCGGTCCGCGATGCGACGCTCGTCAGGTGCGACAGGCGTATGACAAGACGGTGAGGATGACAGGCACGGTGCGTATCCAGTGCTCACTCCTCTCCCGAGCACTGGCACAGCAGTGCTCCTCAAGACTCGACCTGGCCTCTCGCGTAGGGACGCCCCCTGCACGCCACTCCGGACACGTCGTGAAAGAGGACAGGCTTGTCACAGACCACGACGGCTGCCTGAGCCACCATCGGACAAGGCCAGTGGGTTTTTGCGCGGTGTGGGGCTTCGGTTCAACACCGCCACCGCCGCCGGGCCGAACGGAACACCCTGGAAAGCGCGGTCCCCGCCGAGCGCGGTGCAGAGTCCCCGACACACCACGTAACCGAACCCCGGCAGGGACGCCGGACGTATCGCAGGCGCCGGCCCCGGCCGCCGCCGACCCGGGGACCCGGGAAACCGTGCACCGAGCTGGACAGCTGGCGCTGTGCCAACCGACCTGCCGGTAGCGCAGCGCGGGGTATTGATTGGCTCGTTTGTGGTCGTGCATGCCCCGGGTAGTCGCCTCCCCGGCTGGCTGAAGCAGCGCGCAGCAAGGCGGCGTAGTGAGGCGGTAGGAACTCTCGGCTGTTGCCTGGGCGGACCAAGATGCTTCACCCCTGGACCGTTCCTTATAGATACGCAAATGCGTCGGTAAAATCATGCTGCTCGTGATGTCCCTCGCGACGAGAACACCAGACAATAGCAATGCATGTTGAATGTTGAATCAAGCATCGAACGTTGAATGGCGAGTCAAACATTGAACATGTTGGTGACCGTTGGTCCGATAGGCTCCGAGTGTGGAGTGGTCCGCAGCCGGTTTGTTTACTGCTGAATCACCGCTAGTGTTAAGCAGTGTAGCATGGCTATCAAGACCAAGCGTAGCATCAAGTGCTTTGTTTGATAAAAAACTCACTCCAAGCTTAAAATAAAACCGCCAAACCCCAAAACAGCCAACGCTTATCTCGAACACTGATTGAACTAGCATCTATGACCCCCCCCCCCCCCCCCCCCCCAACTGCGTCACCAATCGTGCATACGCGGTTTTGAGAATCTTTCGCATAATCCAGAGTCACCATGTTTTATCAAGGGCAAATTATCAATCATGACGCTTCGAAGAGCGGTGCTTTGGTGGTCATCGGTCCCACAGGGTATATGGTCACTTACAGATTGGTTTGGACAGTACTGGTAATTTTGGTGACCTTTGAACTTCCCCAAGGTCACTACGTTCTAAAAGGGTTACGTGATTGATCATAGCTCACCATGCGTTGAATGTTTGATGGCGATCGACCCGCTAGGTTCCTAGTATGGAATGCTCCACAGCCGATTTCGGCAGCTTCCGGTATTTTTGGTGACCTTCGTCTGACCAAAGGTCATTTTGTCCCGAAGACCACAGGTTAACGATCATGCGACATCGAATGGAAAAGGTTTGGTAGCGATCTGTTCTCATAGACATGGAGCACGGGATCGTCCACAAGCTGCTTTTGGTGTTTTCGCGTGGTTTGTGACATTTAACATGACTCATGGTCAGCATGCCCTGGAAAGTACAGTTTACTGGCTGTGCTACGTCGAATGGTAAATGTTTGGCGTCAGTTTGCTCCATATGCTAGAACATAGGATCGCCACAAGTTTAGTTAATTGTAGCACCTGCCAAGTGCGTCGGGTGAGGGAATACCCCCATACAAAATACGCTTTCATGAATTATCTGTGTCACACATTGACCTGAAGATGACCCCATGCGATTAGAATTGGTCTAAAGACGAGCTAATGGGGTGAGTGGACACTGCAGCCAAAATGAATCAATATTCGGTCCAATACGAATACAGTGAATCACACTTCAAGCGGTTTCTGCTCCGGAGAGGTAAATCAAAGTTCTAATATCTCCCCAACTTTTGGAAAGAAGCCGCAGATCCGAAGCACATACACTCCCGAAGCCCTTTTCAGCGCATCAAATCCCGCTACCTTTTAGTGACGGGTTGGTCGCATCAGATGCAGCAGCACCACCGCAAGGCCCAGTACAGCCACGAACTTAACGCCCAGCCCGCCCCACACAGACAACAACTCTGCTCGTCTCCTCCAGCTTCAAAAACCCAAAAACCCAACGCCGGTTTTGAACCGCTTTGCTACCAACCCTCCACCAGCAGCTACACATACTTCGCTCATTGCTGTCGCCTGGCAACAACATAAACAAACAACCAGTCCAGAGCGGCTCATACCAGCCTACTCGGTCCGCCCGCGGCCCGTCCGCAGACGGATGGGAGCGGCCTGGACCCGCCGGCAGTGTTTCGATGTGCCCAAGGTACGCGATGAAATCGGCAGGTAGTTTACAGGAAGTCTGATCAGTGACGTCATTGATCTGCAGACATGACTGTGAGGTCCCGACGCCGGCCAACACCGGACCGCGCCTCGTACATGACAGACAGCAAAGCAAACACTATAACGAGCTTCTAGCCTTATTAAGACGAATATGACGGGTCTCCTATTGGAGCGACGACGGTAAGCCCATGCCCACAACGTTGGAGGTGAAGTCTTCCTTCGAACATTCAGTGAGACAGAGGAGTGCGTTTCATGTGAAAGGGTTATTCATCCGACCATCGTAGCTAACTGATTTCTTTTAACTCAAGTAACGGATGCATTCATTCGGACTCCGCCAGCTCTGGCAAGATGGCGCGGACAAGTGCCGACGTTCGAGTTCGAAATAGAGCACCGGTGTCTGAATCTACGCTGAATACAGCTGCCATGCCTGAACAAGACCGTATATCTAAGTCTAAATTTGATGCATGAATTCTATGATTTGATAATCAGCTAGTGCGTAGAACACCTATGTGAAAGCTTCCAGATCTTCGTTTCTAGTTCCTCAAAGTGGCTAGCGGCTCTTGATTATTGATGGATGGCACGCACAACGCAGCAAAACCACCCTTCCTGGGCTCGCTGATAAAAAATATGTCTATCATTCGTCAACTATTATTAGTCCCTGTCAACTTCGGGTTAGCAATTCCCCCTTCCCCTATCCCTATCCCTATCCCTATCCCTATCCCTATCCCTATCTCTATCCCTACCCCTATCCCTATCGATCAAAACGACTTCTGCTTAACTCCAGTATCGGTCCTGTAAATGAAATCGTCATTTGTAGCGCAGGTACTACTTCTTTTTCGAAGGCGTTCTTATTTGGGGCTGTTACCCGTGACGTCACACGTAGCTACGTCACACACGGGTTTAAGCGAAGGCCTTGTCGTAACGTAAATACGTGTAACGCCAGATGCAGCAGCCTCTGGAACTCGCTTTTGCCGAGCAAGATCTGGCTTCTGCAGGCCATATCAGTCTGCACTGCAACAATGACGGCCAAAATGTTTTAAATATTTATTCCTAACCTTCTGATTTGATTTGCGTGCGGCCTGATCTCACCATCCAATCGTGAGATGCCGGGTCAACGGCAGAAGTTTGCGACTCCAGCTCGCCGTGCCTCAATGCTGGGCATGGTCCGTACTGTCCTCTGATGTCACGGGACCTTTCGCACGGCCGCTCCCACCGGCCGCAGGCCGCACCAGTCAGGAGCAGGTGGCGATGGCATAAAGCGCCTCGTGCGCAGCCCGCCACGGATGGGTGGACATGGAGCACTCTAGCATGGGCGCAACATGGGCGCTCTAACCAACTGGGCTATCGGGACGGACAGACGGGGACACGACTATCGGGGCTGTCATCTTACCGGGGCCTGTCTGGCCATGTTGGTCAGCCAGGAGCCGGCGTAGTGGGTGACGAAGCGCGCCTTGGCGTCCAGGCGGGACCGGCGCAGGGCAGCTGACCGACTCGCTGGCTTGGCTTCCGCACCACGGGACGATCTTTGCCCCCGCTGCCCCCAGGCGCTCAACGGACGCCGGCCCAGGCCCCCAGGCGATTTTCGGGAAGAGCCTTGTGACGACTTGCGGCAGGAGCCTTGTGACGATTTTCGGCGGGAGCCTTGTGACGATTTTCCGCTAGAACCTTGAGACAATGTTCTGCCGCGGTCGCGTGCAGATTTGGGGCTCAAACGTTGAGACGATTTAAGGTCAGCACTGCCTGGTGACTTTCGGTCACTGTCACCCAGCGTTCTGCGATTGCTCGAGGTCGACGAACCACGGCTCGAGTCTCTCTTAGATTTACCGTCGGTGACACTCGACGATTTTTGGCTGCGCCCTCTCCAAACACTGGATCCACGCCAGTGGGTTAGATCGGGAACGTTAACACCCTCGGGCGCTTTAGTGCCTGCCATGGCGAGCATCGTGGGAATGCCTCGCCGGTTCCTGACCGAATTTAAAACGCATGCCGAAAAACATCAAAAAGTACAAACTGGCCAACTGATGCGCATCGTCAGATTTGTGGGTTTCTTCACCTTCGCGTTGACTGGAAATTTTGACGAACTGAGAAAGAACTGATATGCGTGGCATATTTTACGTGAGCGATTTGTTTTTCGTCCGCGCTAGCTACCGTCTGGCACGTGACTTGCCTTCCAGGTCACTCCTCCATGTCACGACCCCGCTACCCCAACGCTTTTCCTTGTTGACGGAGATGGATAGACCTATTGCGTGCGCGATAATAGTCGCGTCGAAGGGGTCAGCTCTTCATTGGCTTGTTTGGGCCCGTGCGGTCGATAAAGCACCGGCATGCCTCGGCTGAGAACGGGCCATATCACTCCAGCGCCGAAAGGTTACGGTGCGAACTGCTGCCGCTTCCGAATGGCTGTTACAGCTAAGGCAGGGGCTACTGCTGTGTATCATCCACATCTTAAAAGCACATCTACTAAGTATCGCAACTCTTACTTTTTCCACAAGCCTGCGGAAGTGATCGCCGATACAGTTGGCCGCTAGCATTTTCGTCAAGCACCAAAAATCTCAAACTTCGACGTAGCAAGACAGACAGCTTGCGGTCAGTACTCCACGCGTATTTTCCGACTAACAGGTGCTGAAATTACGCGAGTAATTTGACGAAAATGTTACAAGGACACCAGATAGCACCATGGCTCCGCATACCAGCAAAAGTCATCGAGGCTTATCAGTTATCGCAGCGATACAGCAAGGACCACCATCTGCTATCGCCCCTTGCCATGTTGATCGACTGGCAATCTGAGCCCTGAAATTGGCGCTGTGACGCTAGTCAGCCGCGTCAAGTTTCAGCAGCAGGTGGCCCGTTTCGCTGCGACGCCAGATCACCAGGCACGACATGAGGCTGCTGCACTATATGGGGCGTTGCATATTATCAGCTATCGTGTAAATGTCCGCGAGAGATCTTTCACGTCCAAATAGGAAGAATGAAGTCCTAGTCTTTTACTGCTTATTTTTGACTAATGCGTCGATTCGTTCCTAACATCCTAGCGTTATTTTAACCGCCGTGGTGCGGAGCTTTGAGCTAAATTAACAGCTACGCAGACAAGAATGGGGCGAGTAGCACGCAGGTCGGCAGCACATATGGCCGCATTTTTGGCCGCTTTGGCCGCATTTTTGCCCCACGAACGCAGGACGCCAGCCACGTTTGCTCCCATATTCGTGCCTGCCTGGTCACCCGATCCGGGGCAGAAGGTGATGACCCCTGCTCTGCCGGCGCCACAGAGCCCGCCTGAGCGTGATGCGTGCCGCGCTGGGGTCGGGGCGGGGGGGGGGGGGGGCGGGACGGACTTTGCGTGCTGTTGTTGAAGGCGACGACAGGCTCTGTCGTGCCGAATCATAGCGCCTGGGGCAGTGAACGAAGCTGGGTATTTATTACGGGTGAGACTCGAACGGCTGTCACCCTGTGGTTCAAAATCAGGCAAGGGCGCAAAACAAAAGCAGGAGAAGGTCCAAAAAACAAAAGAAAAAGAAAAAATGGAAGAAAAACATGTTACAAAGAGCAGACAACTTTGAAGCGTTTTTGGTAGGGAAATACCGAAACACATTGTGAGTAAGACCTTTTCAAGTCCATACTTCCCATGCATCAGCACATGTGCATGAATGCCACTGTATGGTAATGTTTAAGTGTGTTTGTGTTGTGGATGGAATATCGCCAGCCTCAGCCGTCGCCTACTTCGTCTTTTCTTCGTCTTGCGCTTATTTTCGAATTGTTGACGGCTCTCGAATAGCGCCGATCAGAGTAAGGTTTTCCAAATAGGAGTGCCAGCTGTTTCTGTAGGCGCCCGTCATCATAGCAACGTATTCCAACCAACAGCCGACACTGATCACCGCTCCGTGGTTTTTCCTGGCCAACCACTCAAACCTTTCCTCCGCACCTCCCCGGAGCAAAGTCCCGACATGTCAGAACGAAATGCTTTCCCGCACAGCGATCGATGACACTTGGCCATAGACGAGACACCACCAGTGGTCACCTTGCTAATGTGCTGCTGCTTGGAGCATGCGTCTCATCTTGTGATACACATTTTGTTCGAATTAGATATTTGCAGTGCATATTTTTAGCTGGCGCGAAGCGGCTTTGTTAAGTAGGACACGGTCAGAGCGTAGTTTCATATTTGTTTGACTGGGGTGACAGGTTCGTTCCCGAATTTGAGAAGAAAGCGGCTTAAATTTGGGGAACCACGTTGGTATGTATTTTGAGGCAGGTTTAGCGATCTTTTTAGCCAAGCGCCCTCTCTCTCGACGCCCTCTCTCTCTCGGGTGCAAAAGAGCGCACCTGACACAGTATAGCGAAACATATCGTAAAACATCTGGTATTCCAGGCGAGCAACCTGAATGGGATGCTCATCATGCATACGCTGCGCCCATCACCTTTCCTCCAGCCCACAAGGTAACTACAATCCTCGCAAGAGCTGCGATACCTTTATCCAGCGTCGTATCAGCGTTTTAGGGCAGCGTTTTATCCCAGACTAAATCATCATTGGTAAGCATGCACAGCCCACAGATTAGAGCGTTCTTGCAGACGAACGTTCATGTCTGCGGCCAAGCGCAGGCCACACAGCACGGTCGGCCACTAATAAAAACACGGAAGCTTTAAGCCCAGTAAGCCGGCCAGCACCCGCCGCGGCCTTGCTGACCGCCGGCCCGCCGCCGATACCGCCCGATAGATGGCAGAGCGGTGCGATGCCAGCATGTGACGTCACGTGCCTGATCCGGGTCAAGGGGCGGCCGGTCAAGGAAGTGGTGTTGGACCCGAGGGAGACCGGTTTTGGGACGGCCGGCAGTGTTCAGAACGCCGGGATAACACGGGACGCCGCGGTATCTTACGCCGACATTTCTGGCTTGTTTGGGTGGTGGCACTGCGCAGCCACTAGGCAGAATTTTGTGAATGTTTTTTCACGTGCTGTCTCGAGGTCAACGACAAAAAAAACAACATCCACGTATGTATCAGAGGCGGAAAAGATTGAAGGTAAAGTGAGCTGAAACGAATTCAAGCGGCGCCCGGAACCGCGATTCGAAGGGGCAAATTTCCTCAGATTCTTCAAAGTCACAACCTGTTGTTATTTCGTCGCGTCTGCAAACTCCACCACGCTGAATGGCGTGAAAAGAATGAACTTAATGCAGGTCACGAAGTTGACTGGGAGTTGATGCAACTTCACAAAATCTGCAATGCAAGAAAATGGCAAGGCTTGCTCGCTTTGTTTGCATGCACACTTGCATATAACAGCATACGGCCCCGGGCGAAAAATGCTGAGAAACGCCGCGTGGCTATGCTGCCAGAACGAGCATTTCAATAGTAAAATGGCGAAGTTAGATCTGATAGAACTGACACATTTTAATGAAAGTTAGATTAGCGGTGACCGTGCCTGCAAAACAGCATCCTCTGCCCACGCTGACGTCAAATGTTATTTCCTTTCGTGGTTAACTGAGAAGTTTCAGCTTTCAGAAACAAAGTGCGAGAAATAGATAAAAAAACAGTGAGCTGCGCAGCTGCGTAACACGTGCGTCATCGGCACTGGCGCACACAGGCCGTCGAGATTGCCGGCGCTCCGCCAACAAGAGCTTGGTACTGAGGTACTGAGGCGCCCCCACCGACGGCCGAGTGGAGAAAGAGGCAGGAGGGGGGGGGGGGGGGAGGAGGACGCAAATTGACAGTACGTTGATCTCAAATTCAGGACCCCTAGATCCGCATCTCGCACTTAGTGTAACAATCTGTGTCATTGGAGCTTTAAGACGCACGAAGTTGCTAAGGCAACATGGCGTTGCCTGCCTCACGCCCTGACAACAGTGACGGGCACCGCGAGGAGCCGAACCCCGTAGCTCTGGTTTCCCAGACGCGCGGCTTCACCACCTCACCACCGGCACCCTGACGTTGTTATTTAAACGACCCCAAAATTTATAATTATATTTAATAATTATAACCAATCGTAAACGACCTCATTGTCGCAAAAGATGCGGTGGGCCATCAGTGTCCATCTAACGGTAATCCCGTCCCTCGAGACAAGTACTCCGGGCGTCATTGGGACGTCTTGTACCTCAGCTCAGCTGGCCCATTGAGGAAACAGTTCATCTGGATAGCGTTGCACGTGGTTGTGAACAGAATTTTGTCCAGGACTTCGAGGTTTAAAAAACTACCGTCAAACCAACGTAAATCATCCATGCCAAGCCCTGATGTCAACGTCTACGCAGTGGCCGGTTCATCACATCGATGCCAGCAACTGTTTTTACGCAAAGAGGCAGCTCGGCCAACGGGTGGACCCCGCTAGCCAGGACACTTTTCTGACAAGTCTCGTTCCAGTCAATGAAAGTCCACGGCTTATTCAGGCGAACGCCCTTTGCCGACATCCTCATTTATGCTCGGGAGCTGTCAGCGATCCAAGCACGCACCTGCTCAACGGCCCAACATCTGAATGCGAGCCTGGCATTTCTTATCATCGGTG